GTGTTCGAACTACTAGTCCATACACTTTTCGTTTCTCCAAAGAATTCAATTCTGCCTGTATGACTTCTTTCCATTTTGGTCAATCATTTCTATTTTGACAATCATTAACAAACTCTGGTTCAGGATCCTCATTTTGCATAGTATCAAGAGCCATGTTAAAAGCGAAAATATTGTCTATAACAATATTATTCCGTTCCCATAATTTATGAGATATCATATAATTTGTTGAGATCTCATTATTTTCGGACACTTATGGTTCTTCAGGAACCGTACATTCAATATTTGATTGATCAATTTTTTCTAATGTGATTTCTTTTGAAATTTTTGGTTGGTTTTTCTCTTGTACTCTTCTTTTTCGAGGTACAGAGTCTTTTGAACCAACTGGTCGATCACGCTTCTAGCGTATTTGAGATTCATTTGCCACAACAGATTATCCTGCAGGGACATTAATTTTTGCTGGAATATTTTCTGTTAGAATATATGACTTTGTCACTTCTCTCATGTCAACAAATACATCAGGTAGTTGAATTGCAACTCTTTGCAAATGAATGATTTTTTCAACCTCTTGTTCACATTGATTGCTGCGGGGATCAGTTGTCTCATTTCAAGAAATTCTATCTTGTTTTTCAGGATGTAGTTTTTCTTTTCCCAAAGTTGGGAAAGTCATTTCATCAAAATGACAATCTGCAAAACGTGCAGCAAATAAGTCACCCATTAAAGGTTCAAGATATCTAATAATAGATGGTGAATCAAAACCCACATAAATCTCAAGTCTTCGTTGGGGACCCATTTTAGTACGTTGTGGGGGGTGAAATAGGAACTTGGACAGCACAACAAAAAACTCGTAGGTGAGAAATATCAGATTCATGACCAAACGCAAGTTGCAAAGGTGAATATTGATGATAGGCAGTTGGTCTTATACGAACCAATGATGCAGCATGTAATATGGCATGACCCCAAACAGAAGCTGAGAGTTTTGTTTTCATAAGTAATGGTCTAACAATAAGTTGTAGACGTTTAATAAACGATTCCGCTAAACCATTTTGTGTATGAATATGTGCAACTGAATGTTCAATTTCAATCCCAATTGACATACAATAATCATCAAATGCTTGTGATCTAAATTTACCAGCATTGTCAAGACGAATAGTCTTGATTAAATAATCGGAGAATTGTGTTCGCAATTTTATGATTTGAGCAAGTAGTCTAACAAATGCTACATTCCTAGTTGAAAGTAGGCAAACATGTGACCATCTTGTAGAAGAATCAATTAATACCATAAAGTAACGAAATGGTCCACATAGTGGGTGTATTGGCCCACATATATCTCCATGTATTCATTTCAAGAAAGTTGGAAATTCAATATTGACCTTTGTAGTTGAAGGTCTAATGATTAACTTGCCTTGCGAACAAACTACACATGGATAATCATTAGATAAAAGAATCTTCTGGTTCTTTAAAGGATGTCCATGTGAGTTGTTTATTATTCGACGTATCATTATGGCTTCTGGATGTCCAAGTCGATCATGCCAAAATATAAAACTTTTTGAATCAACGAATTTCTGGTTCGTAACATTATTTGATTCGACTATTTTTATAAATGTAAAATACATGTTAGACGGGAGTGCATGGAATTTTTCTTTTATCTGCTTCTTGCCAGATACAAAACAAGTGATGCAAAGATATTCAACATTATTTTCTTGTATCGTCTCAATGTGATATTCATTGTAACAAATATTTTTAAAACTAAACAAATTTCTTCTGAATTTGCTAGAATAAAGTGTATCGTCAATATATAATTTTGTATTATTTGGTAAAATAATACAAGCTCTTCCGGAGCTTTCAACGATATTCGACGCACCCAATATCGTGTTAACATTATTTTCAGCTAATATTAAGTCCAAAAAGTATTTTTTATCTTGAAAAATAGTATATGTAGTTGCACTATCAATTAAAAAGCTGTCTTGACTATCCATCATGAATCTATAAATATAACAAAATAAACAAAATTTAAAAAAAAAAACTTGGATTTAGATTTAAAGAAGTAAACATTACTTAATATCATGAAATAAACGGTGCATAATAGGGTTTTATTTATTTATTTATTTATTTGTGCAAAAAAGTAAAAATATATTTCAGACTGAATTTTTTTTTAAAACGAAAGAAATACTAGTAAATTAATTTATATCTTTATCACACCACCCCCAACCAAATGGTCAATATTTCCATTTGGATCAGTAAAGAAATCGGAGACATCCAAATGAGTCACATCAATTGGACCATCATAATCAGCAAATTTAGTCTCCAATTTTTCTTTTCCCTTGATTGATCTCTGGTAGAGATCCACAAGATGTTTTGAGGTACGACACGTACGTGTCCAATGCCCGCTCATTCCACATCTGAAGTAACTTTTTTCATGCTCATTTTTAGATTTGCCACTCTCGTTTGCTTTGTGCCTTTTGAATTTATTGTCTTGTTGTTGATAACTTTGTTGATTATTTCTTCCATGATTTATTCCACGTATACGTCTGTGTCCGTGTCCGTGTCCATGTCCACATCCACGTCCGCGTCCGCGTTCACATCCTTGTCTTGATATTGTATTTGCTTCAAACAATGTAGTACCATTTGCTTCAGGCAATGGTACAGAATCAGTTGGACGTAATCCATGATTTTTCATCAACAATTCATTATTTTGTTTAGCAACTAGTAGGTAAGATATAAGTTCTGAGTATTTTTTGAAGCCACGCTCACGATATTGCTGCTGCAAGAGCACATTCGAGGCATGAAAGGTGGAGAAAGTTTTTTTCAGCATATCTTCATCGGTGATTTTTTCTCCACACAAAGTCGACTTTGAACATATTCCGAACAATTCAGAATTGTACTCACTAACCGTTTTAAAGTCTTACAAACGAAGGTGCATCCACTCATAACAGGCTTTGGGGAGGACTATAGTCCTCTGATGATCAAATATTTCAATTAACTTTTTTCAAAGAACTTGTGGATATTTCTCAGTGAGATATTCAATTTTTAATCCATCGTGAAGATGGTGACGGAGGAAAATGAGTGCTTTTACATGATCCTGTAGGGATTCATTGTTCCCTTCTTTTATTGTCTCTCCCAGACCCTTTGAGACGAGATGGATATCGGCATTTAGTATCCATGACAGATAATTTTTACCAGATATGTCAAGTGCAGCAAACTCAAGTTTCGTAATGTTTGCCATTTGTTTAACTACACAATAAAAAAATACAATTAGTTTCAAAAAATATGATTAATCATCACATGTTAATCAAATAGTCAATATCAACATGACTTTAAGTTACGTGTTTTCCTCTAGAGATAAACACTAATTTGAAATAATATGTTCTTCGAAACATATGCTACTTTTGGAGCACATTATATTTTGCTATTATTTCTTCAAGTGCAATATATCAATATCCTTTTGGAATATTGAGAGTTATAATTTATACTCTTCAGGAGCAAATAATATTTTTATAATGTTGTACTACTTCTGGAGCAACAACGAATAGATCAATGATTAATATTCTTCTGGAATATTAATTATAATGTTGTGTGCTACTTCAGGAGCAATAACAATTAAAAATAAATTTAATGTAATATTTCATAACTAAACATAAAAAAATGATAATACATCCAATTGCTCACCATTAATTAATATACAAACACATGTAAAATATTATTTTGAATTAATAACGTGAGTCGAGTGAAACACACAAAAAAATTGGTGACATGTAGAAACCTATTCACATATTATGGCACGAAATTCTAATTATGTGCAATTAAAATAATTGAATTAGTATTAACCAATTAAAGCATGAAATTTGCAGAAACCAATGGATTTGAGAGAAAAGATGAGTTGGGTACAGTTATTTGTTAATTGTATATTATATATATATTGAATCAGCCAAAATAAAGATCTAGAATTGAAGCTTGCTTACAAAGAACATTGACCAATTAAACCAAAAATAATTATAAGCATGTGTAGAACGTAAATGACTAATCTAAATATAAGGAGGGTATAGAAACATGAATTAATGCATATCAATTGATTTAACATAAATATATCTCCATAAAAATGCACGTGGATTGATGTAAAGGAAAAAATATTAATTAATTCAAAGAGAGGTACAAAGAAAACATAATGATCGAGAAAGATGAGATCACGTATTGCAGATTCAACATATGTATATGTAAAATTCACGTATTATCAAATTAATTTTGATATACGTGATAGATGATTATGAAAAAAAATTACTACCTTCTAAGAGTTTCGTGCTGATAACGTATTATAAAATGAGAGGAAAAGAGAATAGAGAAAACTCAATAAACTTTTGTGTGTATTATTGAAAACCAAAGCCCTATATTTATAGGTAAGAATCAGTGATACAATGATAATAATTTTTAGAGTTACAGAGGTACAAACGTCATTCACTAATAAACTCTAATGAACTTTTCATTTACAACAATATGCTAATTTTATCTTGTGTTTATAATTTTATAACATACCATAACTTGACCCTAGATATCTATATACCTCCACTTAATAGAATATAGCCTTCATTTACTATTCATTTGTGTCTGGTTGCTTCACCCCGAGCTAGTTTCTAACTGGTTCTTCCACTGTTGATTGCAGAAAGGGTTTACTTTGGTGTGACCAGACATGGATATTGAATTTGGTCCAGGTGTGTAGCTGTATTTATTCATGGTGTTGGTAAGTGGGACATATCTTTTTTCTCAATTTGACTTTTATACTAGAATAGCAAATAACTTCCATCTCACACTATAAAGTGATGGATAATTCTAGGAAACTAATTATTAAAATGGGCATACTGGTGTTTACAATAAATGTAGTCTGGTAAAAGGACCGTTTTCTCATAAATTGATTGTACCATCGTCATTTCTTAATGTCGTTCTTTATTTCATTTGCTTTCTCATTTATTATGAAAACTTCATTCAACACAACAATGCCTGCCTCTACCTCTTCACTTCACATTCTCTCCTTTACCCCTCGATCACTTTCCCATTCCAACCATTCCTCTCCTTCTTCTCTTTTACATCCAGTTCCTTTAAATCTCTCACAAAATCTGTACTATCACTGTCTTACAACAATAATTTCTCACAATGACCCATATCTAAGTTTGTACGCAACGATTCATTTTCATCTGATTTTGGACCACGTGGAAGAAGATGAGGTTGTAGCTATTTTCTATCTTCGTTTCACCATACAACTCTTGTAAACATTGTAGATTCTAACATACTTTGGTTCTTTTTCAGTATACGTTTTTGATTCCGAAGTTCTTTTAAACAATTAAGAAAGTCTAGCTGCTTAATTTTTATCTATTTATTTTGATTCATTAGGAAATTTTTGACAAGTGAATAGAAGGAAAGCATAAACCCAGATACTATTGACCACTACATAATTTCAATGACATGAATCACACGTTTAGTAAGACAAACTCGACGATACTATTGACTACAAGATATCAGACATGCTTGTTATATCATTTAATGGATGAACCAAACATTGTTCTGTTTGTGTAGATCTTTTACTAGAAGGGAGACAAGGACTTTCAAATCGTGAAGAGCTATCTTTTAGTAAAAGGATTCAATGTCGGTTATGTCATAAATGGTGAGGATTGCCCTTCAATCAATATGATGTGTCCTTCATGCATTTATCAATGATATATTCGGTCCTTGCTCGGTGAATAATGATCACTTGATGACATAATTGGTAAAGAGAATAGATAGCTTTAAGAAAGAAAAAGAAACAAAATGTTTGTCAATTGTATTGTCCAATCTTGCATATCAAACATACATTTACAATTTAGTTTATATATTCCTTATTCATCTTTGCATTATAACTTAAAGGCTTGAAGCAGTTGAATAGAGTCCATATTGGATATATTACCGGAACTAGAACAGTAAGCTTCTAACCCTGAAGTGGCTTATGTTAGGCGTTATGAAACTCATATGTGACTTTAACGTTTGTCGTGCTTATTGGACCTTTTCTTGTCAATTCATTGTAAACATGCACTTACAATTTAGTTTATATGTTCCTTATGCATCTTTGCATTATAATTTAAAGGCGCGAAGCAATCGAATGGAGCCCGAATTGGATGCATTACCAGCTCTGGAACAGTAAGCTTCTAACCCCAAAGTGGCGCTTATGTTAGGCGTTATGAAACTCATATGTGACTATAACTTTCGTCGTGGTTATTGGACCTTTTCTTGTCAATTATGAGTAGAATTATTACCATTTGGCTCTTCTTACTTTTGTACTTGTTAATAAGTAAGATATTTGCTTGACCCTTGCTTTCCTAATTTAAAATAAAGAACAGATCAATGCACGGCTAGTTCTATCTTCCTATATATATATATATGTATATTCTGTCTAGATTTGATTGTTATTTATCTCTCAGGCTGGTGAAAATTTTCAAAATGCTTTATGCAACGCTGAAGCTCATCAAAGAGAATATGCATCAAATTAGGGTGGTGAAGAATCATTTGAGAAACCACTATTATAAAAGCAGGTACAAGTTTCTCAATTAATCTTTTGATGCACAAATATCTTTCGTCATTTCAAATAACATTTGGCACACTAATATTACCGCAAAAATAACACAGTTCGTGCATTGCACAGGCAAAAGTCTAGTCATGTTAAAAGACTTTATTTGCTTCTTGTTAAGTGAATTTTATGCAATTTAGTAAAATCAATAATCTGTCAACATGTTGGAAATTTGGTCATGTAATTGAGCAAAATTTGGAGCGTTGAATTTCTTTGGCATTGGAACTATAATGAGTATATTTAAATTAGCATAAATGAATTCATAAAGATTGGAAAATGAAACTTTCCTAATTTTATAATTTTGTTATAAAATAAAAACATTCTTTTACTTTAATAATGAGAAACCGCCCAACCACTGGTCTTTCCCATTCCTATATTTTTCCATAGCCGAGGGATTTTCACAGCTTAGTTATCATCTTCGAAGAGACGTAATATGTGTTTTTTGTTAAGGTTAGCCTTTTTCCAATTATTCTATTATGAGTGATATTTTATATTTTATAACTTTAGATTATGTTGATTTCTAATACTTTGTTATTTGAAAATAATACAAAGTATTTATTATTTATCATAGTTAAATACTTTGTATCATTTTCAAACCATTATTCTAATACCAGGTCTTTATGTTAATTTAGTATTTAATTAAATTAAGTATATAAATAAATGACGTTGCAATTTGTTTTAGAGGAAAATTTTACACAACACATTAAATAGAGTGGTAATAACGTGATTTTAATTATTATAAATATTATCCGTGAAGCATCATTTTGACTTGTATAATCCATAATCAACTAGATTTATAATATACATGCTTAGTTTGAGCCGCATTCTTTCAAAAAAAAAAAATACATTTTTAAACAGTAATTTACCATCATTTCAACAACACATTTTTTAATAAAATAATATTACATGCAAATTCAACCACACATTCTCCATTAATTTACTATTCTAAAATATATTATTTCAAAATGACGTGGCTCAAACATATATATATATATATATATATATATATATCTATATACACAACAACACTTGTAACCACATATAATTTAAGTCAACACGAGTTGGGTGGTTATTGATTTGTTTTATTTATTCTTGTCATGTTTTTTAAGTGACGTAATTGATCACTAAAATTAAAAAGTAAAATAAAACAAATAAGCAAGCACATGTTGAAGTTCATGAATATTTGATGATAACGACTTAGGACTATTGGCACGTTGACTTCGTGGACGATCTAGGACAATTTTACTTGCAATCAAAAGTGATAAGCCAAAAATTAGGTAAGTAAAACTTCCCCAGTTTTCACGCATGTTATATGGTTAAATGTATAAATGCGTTATTATATTTGCCCTTATATTAACATGATATTTGATTATTATGTTTTATGTCATAAATGTTTCTCATTATATATATGTACATGTCAATGTATTCGTAAGCATACAAGAAGTGAATGTAAATGATTGGATTGATAACGTGTGGCAAAACGTAACGATATGATCATAAAATCTTTACGATAAAAATAAGGAATTAGCGGGTAAAAAGGAGGGAAAATGGTGCGTGGTTTGCTGAAAAAACAATCAATACAATTGAATTTATAAAACACAAACTACATAATATGCTATCCAAATTTATAGTTCTATATATATATATATATATTTGGCTGGAAGGGGGAACGAGGGAGAAAAATGGAGAGAAGATGAGTGAGGCATGTTTGTTATGATGTTTGGGAAGGAAGACCTCCTCCCCTTATATATAGGGTGCCGCCTGATGTTGCATTTGACGGGTCATCCTTTCTCTATCAACTGTACAAAGTGAATCAATGTAGCTCAGAAATGAGGGTCAACAACTTCAAGCATAACACTTTGTACAGTTGTTAACCCTCTAATCTGAGCAGTATTGATTCAATTTTTGATAGAGCAAGTATGACCCGCTAGATGCAATATCAGGTGGCATCCATATATATAGGCATAGAGGGTCTTCCTTCCCAAGCATCATAACAGATACCACTCACTCTTCTTCTCTCCATTTTTGCCCTCCATCCTCCTTCAGCCAACTATATATATAGATCTTTTTTCCTTTTGGAAGATACAGGAGCGAAACAATCAACCTATTGATATTGGAAGACCCAACAGATTCTTCCAATATATCATTCTGGGTCCAATGAAATTCATGGATATAGGAAAAAGCCCTCTCAAATAGTATATGTGTGTGTGTGTGTATATATATATATATATGTACATATATATATATATATGTATATATATATGTACATATGTACATATATACATACATATATATGTATATGTACATATGTACATATATGTACATATGTACATACATATATATATGTATGTACATATATGTACATACATATATATATATGTATGTACATACATATATATATGTACATACATGTACATGTACATATATGTATATACATATGTACATACATGTACATGTACATATATGTATATGTATATGTACATACATGTACATATGTATATGTATATGTATATGTATATGTATATGTATATACATATACATATACATATATGTATATACATATATGCATATATATATGAAAAAATATATTTTTGCATGTCTACTAGTCAAGTGGATTTCCAAGACAAAAAGGTATGTTGTTTCTTGCTCAAGAAATTCTCGATAGACTTAATTGATATTGTCGAAAATACTATTTTGTTTTATTTTCTCTAGATTAGGAAGAAACCTGTTTTGATCTAGCAACTTCAATTTTCAGAAAATATCTGAGCCCTCCTAGGTTCTTCATTTCAAACTTAGAAGCCAACTGCTTTCGAAGCCTTGCTATCTTGTCTGAATCATCTCTTGTGATGATCATATCATCTACATAGCCTATTAGGGCAGTCAATTTGCCATGTTGTGTTTTAGGAACAAAGTATGATCGGAGTTACTTTGCGGGAACCCATACTTTCTCATTGCTGTGCTAAACCTCCCAAACTAAGCTCGTGCAATTATTTTAAGCCTATAGAGTTCTTTGCAACTTGCAAACAATATTGCCTTCTACATTGGCTACATACCTTGGGAAAATATTCATATATACATATCTCTTCTTCTATATCACCATGCTAAAAAACATTCTTCACATTGAACTGATTTAAGGGCCAATCAAGATTTGCTGCAAGTGACAATAGTACTCTCACTGTATTTAGCTTGGCTACTGGCGAGAAAGTCTCCTGATAGTCAATTCAATATGTCTGAATAAATCTCTTTGCCACAAGTCTAGCTTTGTAATGCTCTACTGTTCTATCTACCTTGTATTTGATTGAAAATACCCACTTGCACCCTACTATTTTCTATCCTTTAGGTAGCGTGATCAGGACCCAAGTCTCATTTTTTACCAGTGCTTCTATCTTCTCCTTCATAGCCTGGACCCACCTTGGGCCTTTCATTGCTTCTTCAATACTCGTAGGAACTGGGTGCGAGGAAATTTCGTCCGCAAAAGCCTTAAGGGTTTTGAGAGGTCTCTTTGTGGATACATAGTTGGTAATTAGGTATTTAACCTCTTGATCTTCCAAGTCGAGAGTATATCTCTTTAGTGGCTTTCCTCGATTGTGCTTGTAAGGTAACTAATAACCAACTAGAGTATCATTAGCTAATAGAGGTGTACTTGGAGAGTTTGAGGAGCTTACCATAGGAGTATTCTCAGGAGATGGTCTGTGGATACTACAGAGTGAGGAGAGGTACTACTGCTTCAGAGTTATGCTCTTCTTACTAGTCTCTAGTAGTGGAATACTAGATTCTGTATTATCTGTAGGTTCTGAAACAATGGGCTCATTAATAGTAGGTTCTATAACAATTACAATGGGTTCAATAAATCCAGGTCATTCATACAGTAGCCAATTTGACTCTTTACCTCCAAACTCCTCCTAGAGAGTATAAGTGGATGGGATTGGAGTAAAAATATTTCGATTCCAAGAAACTGACATCCATCGTCACATAGGTATGACGGTTAGTTGGATCATAACATCGATATCCTTTTTGATACAAGCCATATCACGAAAACACACATCGAACTGCACAAGGATCAAGTTTGGTGCGTGATTCCTATGTAAATGAAAAAAGGTGACACAACCAAATACTCGAGGCTGGAGCATCAGAGTTGTAGGAAGAGAAATGACAGCGGATAGAGCCTCGAGAGGAGTTCAAAATTTGAAAGCCCTAGAAGGCATTCGATTAATAAGATATACCGCTGTAATGACAACATCAGTCCAAAAGTGATTAGGTACACAAGAACCAAGTAAGCCAGCGCGAGCACCAAGTGATTAGGTACACGACCAAATCTAAGATATGCCGATTTTTCCTCTCGGCAACGCCATTTTGCTATGGAGTTTGAGGAACATCCTTTATTTGGTTATCTGAAACATATATTTCCTACTTTCTTTTTCGATTTGTCAGGTTTGAATCTTAAATGTGAAACATGCATAAATATCTTGAAAAAGGCAAAAAATGGGATAGATCAGAACAGCACAATTTAACCCCTTCGTGACATGACTTACTGATAATAATTTATGAGACAATGATGACATGAAAAAAAGTTAATGTTAAGGAGAGGGTTGGTGAAATCATCACTGTACCAGCCCCATTTACCAAAGATATGTCCCCATTAGCATTAACAATACTAGTAAGTCGAGGGGAGGATCGTTTAGAAAAAATCACTTGCATCATACGTCATTTGTAAGTTACTCTTGAATCAAGGATCCAATCGTCATAAGATTCAGATGTATTGGTCCCGAGAAAATCCATACCTGTATCCAAGTCAGCTACTGCCGAAGGAACAAGTGACAATTTGGACTGAGTAGAGGCTATTGCAGCTTTGCCCATGCTGTTTGCTACACTTTTGCTTGTTCCATCATCATTCCTATTACCATCTTGTCGCCTCTTGGCTTGTAATTCATGCCACCAATCCGAATAGCCATGCTTTGAAGCATGTGTCTCGATTATGTTTCAAACTTCCACAATGAGAATATTTAGTTCCATCGGATGGGACTGTTGATTTAGGGGCCGAATTGAGTTTTCCAGTCAATGACAAAGAGTTAGCGGAAGAGGAGAGCCCATGTTTCAAGCTTCATGATGCCAACACTGCCCCAGCCGTGTCTTCTCCATCATTGGTTTTCTTTACTAATTGTCGAACAGCTTCTCTTCAAACATGGGCATATGCTTGCTCTAGTGTGGGAAAGGGCTAAGCTGTAATATATCACTTCTAATATCCAATTCATCATCCAAACCATCAAGAAAAGTATATTCTAGATCCTCCTGCAGCATATTGTTATAATATTTAATATCTTTTGGACATTTCATTGGGTTAGGATGACGGAAATCAATCTCACGCCATAAGCCTTGGAGATCATTGTAATACTTTTCCAATCTCCCGCCGCCTTGCCTAAGTCGTGCCACTTGCCGTCGGAGTTCATAAACCTGGGGTGCTTCACTTCTATCAAATTAAGTGGTTGCAATTGCATCCCAAACCTGCTTTGCTGTTGGAAATCTGATGAAGTTGCCACTAAGGGATGAGTTCATCGAACCAATCAGCCATCCCTTTACATTTGCATTTTCAGTCTGTTACTTACAAAAGAAAGGGTCGGTTGTTGGTGGCTGAAGGAAGTCTCCATAGAGGTAGACAAGTTTATCTTTGCCTGCTACGTACATCTCTACGACCTGTGACCGGAGGGCGTAATTTGTACCATCCAGCTTGATACCGATCAATACAACCATTAAGTCAGTGTTTGGAGTAGGTGCTTAAGCTTTGCTTAAAACTTCTGCTATCTTTGTTGTCAAATTAGATATCATCGAAGAAGAGGTTAGATGGTCAGATTCCAGAGGGTGAGATTCACCAGAGTTCTCATCAAAGTGAAGATCCATGTCTGCCATGGAAGAGGTTGAGTTCTAGTTTCACGGATTTTGGTGGGGATCGGAACCTGGCTCTAATACTATGATGGTTTTAAGATTCCAATCTGTCTATTTTTATTACAATACTCAAATATATATAGATACAAAGCTTCGCTATACATAGAATATAAAATTTACTTTTATAATTCCTAATCTATTGAAGGAATCTGTAATTAAGGGATTGTGGTGCATACTCCTCCCATAATATCCTAGATTTTCTCCCTTAATTGCTCAACTCATGTCAACACTAAACATTTCATAGCGACTTGTAATGGGTAAAAAACATGTTGGGCGAGGAATATACCGGTTTTGGAAAATTCGATTAGACTGCCCATCTCCATCTCGCCACCTTAATCCCTCCTGCTTGCTTCTCCATAATAAGCTTTTCCAGAGGTAGGATGAACAACTTTTATTCGTGGCTAACAGAAAATCACCAGTTCCAACTTTCAGCGTGCTTACCACTAGTGATTTGTTGCAGATTAAGCTCCAAGCCTACTTTGCCACTAATACTTGATTGAATGGACCAAGGCGTCGAAACACCAGATTGCCCTATCCTTTTTGAAGAAACATGTGTTCCCATTTAATTCAGGTTCTTTTACGTCTTTCAATTGTTCGAGCTCTAGAAGAATTGCATAATGTTAGAATTAGATCGTGTCTCAAATTCTAGTAAGTATTTTGATTAGAAATACTGTTGGAGTAGAATCCATTATTTTCATATTGCCCATATTTTCATTTTCTTTAAATTATTTAGCCGGATTTTCAACAAATTGATATTGAAGTTGTTCCACTTTAAACAAAGTAGTTTTAGATTTTGTCCAAATTATAACACATCATTAGAGATTTAATGTCGATGCATAGAGATTCTGGTACCCTGAATATGCTCATGTGATAGGTTAGGATTGTATGTATAACATATTAACTTTGACTAACTATTTTTTTAAAGTAATACAGTTTGCATCAAAATAAGAGCTTGTGTAATATTGTTAAAAACTGATAAAAGCTGGTATGTCTCATGATATGTATGGTTAAAAATAAAGTTTGACCAATTTTTTAAGAAAAAGGCTTTACTAAACAAGTGCCAAATAGCATTGTTTTTTCACTTTGATTAACAAGAAAAAGGTTTTAATTTAAAACTTATTTACCTTTGAGACCTTTGTTATGTAGGTGATGCTTTTGGATATATACTAAGAAGTATTGATGCTTATAAACTCATTACGTATCTGTATTCGATACATATCCAAATTTGGATACTCTTCGATACGTATTGAATACATGTTTTTTTTAAATATTTTTTAATTTTTAAATTTTTGATACTTATCGGATACATGTTTTTTAATTATTTTTGATACGTATTTGATACGTTAGCATACGTGAAGAAGAGTGTTACTAATTTTAAACTCTTTTAAAACTCATTGTTGTTAACGATAGATTGGAAAAGTTTTTTTCCGCCTTTATTGACTGTTAATAATATTTATTGGAATACACAATTAGAGTTTTAAATTAATTAATAACTAGACTTTTTATTGGAAATACACAAATTATTTAATCTTTTAATACATATGAAACTGTGTTAATAATTGACAAATATATTTTTATTATTGAAAGCAAATAGTAACTAGTATCAATAATTGGGGTACATACATTTTTGTGTACTTCATGAGAGGGAATAACTCCACAAAGAACTGAAGATTTCGTTTTCTTTCATAGTAATCTACATCTTTTATCAAGAAAATTATATCTTTATATAAAAGGAGAATCCAAAATATGAGACATTGTTGGAGACTTATTTGATACTCTTGAAATTGTTGGATTGCTTGATATTGTTAATTTATTATTAGATGAATCAGTGTTGGAAAGTGCTATTTTTAATAATAAAGAAGTTGATGTTGAAGAAAATGAAGTTGGGATAATTAAGGACTAAGGTAAATCATTTTAGTATTTTATTTTATTTCTATTATTATACTTATGTTTTAATTTTTTTATTTTAATGACATTATGTTAATTTAAAAACACGTATCCAAGTTTCCTAATTTTTTTTAGAAAGTCGTATCGATGTACACATATCGTATTCAAATTAAATATCCGTATCCATTCTTCCTAGGATACATGCACAGAGATATTGAAGTGTGATTAAACGTGTCAGAAACAAGTTATGGACAAATATTTATGAACTCTTACCAGGTAGTTAAATAGCATTTTCTATTAATTCTGCAATGACATTTGCAAGTTCATCGAGATTTTATTTTTGTAATTCTGTTTTCATAATTTGATTTCTTTTTTATCTTTTCTTAAAAGGATAGCCTTATTGTCTTAGTTTGGGAATGGAACAGCAAAGGGTACATTTGCTGATATGGCTACTGCAAATTTGTAGAGAAGATGAATATTGAGAAATAATAATGTTAGTTCATTGATCTGGAAATTTTGTTCAACATTCATACAATGCTAAAGAAAGGAAAATACATAAATTCAAATTGACTCAATCAAACTCCAAACAGACCCATCAAAACTAAACAACTGAATTAAAACATCTGAAATGTATTCAACGAGATTTTTACTCGAAACGGATTCAAATATCTCAAGTGCTAATAGAGTTCAAGAGATATTGCAGGGAAATATCTACTAACCAAAAAGGTCTGGACCATAGGTGGATTTGATCATATTGAGGAGGGGAGGAAGCTGCAGTTTGATAAAGAAGGTCACTGGTGCGCAAGTTATTGTGATTATTGGTACAACAAACATGGGATTCTTCTTAGCGTACACCAGAAATATAGTAGTACTAAAGGCAACCATTAGAGATATTACAGAGAAGAGCAAGGAAATTAGGCCGATTATCAATCTGCTGGGCAAGGTATTAAGAAAATCATTAACTCCAAAGCGGGAAGTAAAAATGGATAAGAAGGATAAAACAGTAGTAATAGATGAGACAAGTGCAAGAGAATCTGAAGTGGCAAAGATTAAGAAGGACGTCCGGTCAGAGAAAATGGGGAGGCCACTACTGTTGTCGTTCCCTCCAGGTACGGTGATTGCAGCAGCAAATGCCACTGTGGCAATGAGTGATGCTACAACTGAGCATGCAGTAGCCATTCCTGTGATCCATTTTATTTCATTTTCAGCCATGCGAAAGTGCTCTTCATTGAAGATGGCTAGTGGTGTTTTCCCTTTAAAATTCTTCGATTTAATTTCTTTAGGCGATACAATTCTCTCCAATTCCTGCATCAAGCAAAAAAGTTTTATCGTAGATCAATTTTTGTATTCAGAGAGGCAGCAAAAATGAGAAATCTCGTCAATGATTCACTTTAAGTGCTAAATGATTCTAGGTGAATGCATTTGCTGGATGCAGGTAAAAAAAAGAGCAGAAATGTTCCAAAAAATTTGATCAGAAACCCTTTTAAGCATTTTATCTGAATTTTACTGACATCAAATTGAAGTGGACCCAGACACAGGTACTGCCTACCAGCCTGGATATAAATAAATATATGAAGAGTAAGAATATATTACCTTAAACCACCTGAGTTCATACTGCATTTGAAGAATCGCTCCGCGATTAAGATCGAGTAAGTCTTGACGGGCTAAGTATCCCGCTAAATGCAGTATATTATTACGCTTATTATCAGTTGAGAACTTCTTATCCTGTTCAACATTCTTCTCTTGAAGAACCTTAAAAACCTTTTCACGACGGTACATCACAGCAAGATGAAATACAGAATGCTTCTCTTCATCTGTAAAGTTTATTGAGGCAGGAAAGGAATCTAGAATTTCAGTGACTATCTCTTCTACTCCATTCTGTACCCCTAAAAGAAATGACCTTTTAAGTACTGAGGAAGCTTCATCATTTCCAGAAGTTCTAATAGTTGAGCATATACGTGTGACTAGTTGAAGGGCTTGATGATGCATCAATTTTATGTGATGAACACGCTTCATATGTGGTACTGTAGTTGCAAGAAATCCCATTACTTCACAGCTAAATAATCTTTGTATGTTAAAGTCATAAGTGATTGCCTGAGCATATTTCTTACCTAAAACTTCGAGTATTTTCCATAGTCTTCCTGGTGTCTCTGGGCACACTGCAAAAGAAAAGAAAACCAAGCTTGTGAAGACTTTAAAAAGTAAACTCTTGCTAAACATGGATTGCTATGCTGAATATCGATTAAGGTAATTGTACAAAACAAACATATTAAGTACTTTCCTCTTGGAAATTGATTCTTGGAACACCTATGCAGTTTAGGAATAGAAAAATTTGGTATTTTGTCATGTCCTCATTTTGTAAACTATTTGGCATCCCAATCAGCATCAATATCCATTGGCTGAAACATTAGACCCTTAGCAGTTTACTTTTCCAGGCCAATGACGGAACAGGTTTAAAACATTAAATAAATAAAGGGCTTGAAAATTATCTAATTAGCCGACCCATTAGACCCTTAACAGTTTACTTTTCACTTTTCCGGGTCGATGACGGAACAGGTTTAAAACATTGAAAAAGCATCAATATATAAAGGGCTTGAAAATCATCTATTTGTTTCGGGTTCTCACATGAATTCATTATAAATGTTTTGTTACAACTGAAAAGCCTCCTCTGGAAGTCCACATCACACCCTCTCAAAGAGAAGATCAATTTTATTGGGTGATTATGTCCTTTCTTGGTGAGAGTGTCGATGATATTGGTCATGTTGTAGACCAATCTCATAGAATCAAGTTATTTCATGTTCCTACTCTGATAAGTGGCAAGAAGCCATGAAGGACAATTCGATCCACGGCTCAAAACGAAGTCCTTCAGCTGTAATTAAATAGAAATAAGAAGACAGTACTCTACCAATGAACAGATATTTGATAATGATTAAGTGTGTGATGGAGACTAACAAGTACAGATTAAGGACTCCCAAATGCCGAAGTATGTTCCACTTGGGAAAACAGAAGGGTCCTCGGCCATCAGCTCCAATGGACAGATATCTTCCCATGCCAATTTTGGGTCGAATTGAAGCAATTGGAGAGCCAAATCTACATGCAAGAAACAGTACATCAGTTTCAAAATTTTTCATCCCAGAAATATTTCAAGATTAGACAAACATTTTGTTTGCGAAGCTTCATATGTTCATTAAAAATTGATCATCGCAACATACATCAGCATACACAACCACAATACGATGGCATTCACCTTGTACTTGGGAAATTGGGAATGGAGTTGATGTGATAATTGGTTTGACTCAAATTAAAATTAAGGGTCCATGTAAAACATAACAAAGATTTGGAGGACTATTTATATAAATATATGAGATTTTTCATTCGGGCATGAAGCACCACCGCACTCGTGTAAGAGTTCGGTGGCTGGTTGGCTGAAGAAGGAAATGAAAAGAAGTAAAGTATTGAATTTACCAACTTACCATGCCAAAAAAATTGAAGTTATAAATCAATGCAATATCCAGGATGAAGCGACACGAGCTGTAAAAGGAATTCGAGGAGAGAGGCAGCCAAGGAGGGAGGAAAAGCTAAAGAGAAAGAGGTCGCGTTGGTGTGCAGGGGCAGTGAGTCTATTAGCTTTGTCCAGCAATATGGCGACACACGAAAGAGAGTTAAGAGACTTTCGATTGTAGGGAGAAAAAATTAAGGCAAGATAAAATAGAAGAAACGGACTGGTATGCTCGGGTAGGCGTATGTTGAGCTTTCCAATTTGTGTAGAGAAAGTTGAGTGAGAGAAAAAAAATAAAATAAAATAAAATTTATTGTCTCGTTTTCAAAGTATTAAATTTATGTGTATGCTTTTTGTAGTGGGATATTTTTCCAACAACTCTATCTATGTATGAGCAATAACTTTACGTACTCACCACAATATCTTGCATTTACTAAAGATTGCAAAACCCTCGCTCCATGTGCACCATTGAGTAGACTAGAATTAAATTCATCTGTCATGCTGATAGTTAACAAGTATGAAGTCATCTCTTTACGACCTCGATTTGCAGCTACTTGGATTGGCAACAATTGATCATTGTTGAGAAGACTTAGCAAAATGCGACTTTTGTTCACGAGTAGGCAGGCTGTTTTGACATTTCCAAGCTGTGCCACCGCATGAAGAGCTGTATTGCCGGAGTTGTCCATCTCAGCCAGTAAGTCTGAAGGATATATTTCAATCAGCTTCCTGATAAAGAAAAACCCTTGTCTGTGCCGTCTTCCCTTGATGGCCACGTGAAGTGCTGTCTCTCCAGATGCAGTTAGCTTGAATTTGAATGCTTCTTCGCCATGCTGATGGAAGAATCTCTCAACATCATTCCAGCTGCCATTCATTAATGCGTTGCGCGCTTCTTGTATCCCTCTTGGTCTGTCCAAACCTGCTTTCATATCAAGGGAAATGGATGCTTACATACATCTTCATTATCAAAGTTAATAAGCAAATATTACAAGCGCTTAACAATGCCCATCACTCACCATTTCTACCCTGGGATCTCGACACGATCAGCTCCATCGTCTTCACAACTGATCTCTCAACTGCAGTTTTAGCTCAACACAAACTCCAGATAAACTTATGTTTTATACTTGAATTCAGACATGAAAAGTTCCTCTATGGTTGTCGCCTTGCGGTGCCAACTTTAAAGATGGCTTACATATTTTTCAATAACTTGGATCATTCTTCTCCTATCCAAGTTTTATTTTAGTCCTCCAACTTTATTTTATTTCAATTTGATCCTTTTCAAAATTATGTTTTTATTGCAGTTAACACTACGTCCGACTCCATTAGTTGATCTAATAGAAATATTAAGCCCATGTTGACTTTCATTTTTTATAACTTGTTTTTTTCATACTCATTTCCAATCATATATTTCATCAATTTTTATCAAAATTTACTAAAAACCTAATTTTTATCCAAATCAAAGGGGAACTAAAAGTTTTTACTTGTTAAAGTGTAAAATTAAAAGCTTGTTTGAAAAGCGTTTATAATTGGTTCTGTTTTTAAATAAACATGAGTGGTAGATAAATAAGTAATATTTGTGAGTCTCACAAATGTATAGATAGGTTCATTAACAAAACATAGGCAAAGACACTGCTCATGCACACAGATTTTAAGTGCATGTTTGGCCAAGCTTAAAATACTTAATTTTCACTTTTGGCTTGCTTTTGCTGTGCTTGGTTTGGGATTCCATTCCCATTTCCGAAGGACCCGCTATAAGTTCAAAGATCGATATATTGGCATAGGTTTGTTGGGAACTTCTTCAATACCTTTAAGAGCCAACAAACGATATGATTCATAAGCCTTTGGGCCTCATTCTTTAAACTCGTTTTGACTTGGCCTTTGCATGGGTTTCTTTTATAAAGTGAAAAAATAAAAATAAAAAATTAATACGTATTTTATAGGATCTATAACTGTTATTCATTTATCCATTATTCATTTTTATCAATTTATAATTTCAGTGAATAAAAAGAAACTTAAATATATGCTTATTGAAATCAAGCTTAATAAAAATAAAAATAAAAATAAAAATGGGCTTATTACTTGAAAATCAAACCTTAGACTGTATGCAACATTTGACGGAGAAAAAAAAAGTCCTAATTCAATGAAACGTTTTATTGACTTGATGGCTATTTTTCGTCATAATGTACTGGATGCTGTAAATTTAATGCTGTTAGACAACCATCATGTGCCTCCTTAAATTATGCTTCCAAATTTCGTACTTCACGTTAATCACAAATGTTCATGGTCTTTGTTTGGGTTATATTTTGTAAATTATGCAATTGATTCTATTAATTCTGTATATAAATTTATTGAAAATGTTGAACCCCAACCTTGAGTGTCCCTTACCGTCTCGTCCCTGGAGCATCTTGAAGGAGGTTAATCGTGAGATGTGTCCCAACAGGCTAGAGAATAAGAGTTTGCTCGTACAGTGCTACCTACAAAGAGTTCAATTCCATATCTCAGGAATCGAACCCTCACAACGGGGACTGTCAGCAAGGTTGAGAGTACCTCACATCTGTTTTTTGCATCACTGAATTATGCCTGAGGGGCATGTATATAAATTTATTGAGTTTGTTCAGTGGATTGTCTACAGCTACCTGCACATAAATACAGTCAACTGTATAATAAAGAATATAAAAATGTAGAGATCCTAAATCCAAGTCAACTTTACAATCCAAGTCAATTTATAATAAAGAACATAAGTCAATTTATAATAATAAAGAATACAAAAATGTGAGGATCCTGCATTGGTAGTAGAACCTGCTTGTGAACTGTCAATTCTCTAATTAGATTCCCAACTAACCCGTGATCTTATCGTCGATGTCTCGTCAATCTGTCACATGAACGTTCATGTACAAGTTGAGGTTAAACCTTTGCATGAAGAATAATGTCAAAAGCAATGCCAGAAATTTAAGTAGTAGGAGGTGATTAGATGAAAAATATTAGGGTCGCGCTTCACGTACAGGGGCAATTACAGAGGTCAGTCAAGACAAACACAAGTGCGGGATCCGCACAAATTTATTTATTTTTTAATGAAAGTCGGTGGGACCGACCTACAACTACAATGAGAGGGCCTGTAAGCCTCTTGTAGCACAATGCCGTGTACGCAGGGCATTGTTCAAAATATTATTGTATTATACACAGACCAATTATTTCAGGTGGCACTGTTCAAAATATTATTGTATACACAGACCAATTATGTCAGCCGTTATTTCAATTATTCTAAAATTGTAGCATGGTTCTACAAGTTAAATCTCTATTATTAGTCCGCATTTGCCTCAATTTTTAATTTTTTTTAAAATTCATTTTCAATCAAAATTATTCACATAGACTCGTAATGTTTTGTTGTCGATTTTTTTATCCCGTCAATAAAGGAACTGTAACAAGTAATATACTGGATCAAGAAGTCCAGATATCGTTTCCACAAGGACTACTATCTAACACTTTAATTTGATCGAAAACAAATAATAATGTTTGTAAGTGGTGTCTAAATTATTCTATCTAAAATAAATTATCTAACATACACAATTTATCGAATTTGGGTTTTAAAAGTATGAATGTGGATGCTAAGACTTACAATTTACTTATGGATCCCTTTTAATTCGTCAATCAAGATTCATTATTATTATAGTGTTCGGTCGAATTCTTTTAAAGTATTCAATTTATCCGTCTCGAGTTCTCATTAAATCTATTTAACTAATTCAATTTTATATCTCCATGTGAATCAATTTTAGTTAAACGCAATTATGTTTTACGAATCCATGTTAATGACTACATTAACTAACATAAGTATCTCTACTTTTCATACTAAATTATCGAATTTCACTATATGATCTAAATCTAAAACCAACCTTTCGATTTGTAAGAGATTCACAAAAGCTTTGAATAATTGGTCAAAGATTTCAAAGCCTTAAACTCATGAATAAAATCAACACATATGCATTTAAAGAACTAAAATCTTGAATAAAAAAATAAAAAAATAAAAATAAAGTGTCATACATAGATTATATTGTTTGCGATAACTATGAATTTAGAACTCATAATAATGAAAGAAAAACAAAAAGTATAGAGTTCATAACCCGAGCTTCGAAATCTTGATCATGGAAAGAATTGGATTTGTACTAAGAATATTCTTCAACCTCAAAAGTCTTCAAATCATAGCCTTTGCTCTTTGATTTTGATGACTAAGTGTTTTTCTTTCCCCCAAATAGTGTGTTCTAGAGTTGTATTTATATTTTCTTCAACTCTTGGAAGAGTTTTAGTTGAATTAGGCTTTTAAAAAGATGAACTACACTTCAAAACCCCATTTGGTGACGTGCGAAGCCTACATGACGCCATTGATCTGCCCTCTATTCCTAAGAGTGGGCATCTCGACCCCTGCTTGGTGGTGCCTCGACGCCACTTGCTTCTCCAACTTTGCGCATTATTCAATATTTTTATTATAACTTTTTATTTTAATATCTAATTAAGGCAATTCAAAGTGCGTTGTAAAGATAATTCAAAAGGCTATAACTTTGTTAGAGATAGCTTTTTTCCAATTCGATCATTTACTATATGAAACAGGTCTCAATGTCTAACTTAAAACCTGGAATATACTCGTACAATTGAAAATTGATTTGTGAAAATATTTTGATTACATTTCAATTTTTATTTATTTATTTATTTATATATTATTATTATTATTATTATTATTATTATTATTATTATTATTATTATTATTATTATTATTATTTTACTTCTATTGCATCTAATTGACCCCTAGCATTCTAGAATCTTTATCATGAGGTACGATATAACTTTTAAGTATTTACACTTTAGTCCCTAAACTTTGGATCTTGCACATTTTTTTCAATTCATTTTTGCTTCTTTCTTTCAATTCCATTTTCTTCTATCGAGTTTTACCTAATAAATGAAATATACAATAAATTAGGGTATAATTGTTTAAAACAACTATTAAACGTCTATATTTTTAAGTCCAAATAATAGTGGGAATCATGTTTCTTTTACTTTTTAAAAATAATAGTGGGAATCGTGCTTTGTACGATGATTGTTACAGTTTTAGAAGTGGTTTTCTTAATATGTCCTAAAACGTATAGACACTTTGTAGTGATTTTAAAAGAATGGAATTGTACAATGTTACATGATAATATCTACTCAAAAAACGAATATATTGCTTCAAGTTTGGTCGACTTGTAAAATAACTAGTCCAGTATGCATTAGCATTATCTACATCTATAGAAAATCAATTGGAAAACACTTTGTCTAGATTTCTATCAAAAGATATCATTATTCTCAATGCCTCTTCCAAAAAAAAAAAAAAAAAAAAAAAAAAAATTCCGATAGGAAAGCAAAGAAGCAAAAAAAATAACTTGTTAATGTGAATGAATTAGTTTGTCCATTTGCTTGAACCAAGACTAAGCATATTGATATTGGAAGTCATCACCCATCATCAACATCATATGATTGGTTTGAGTCACGTGGACTTGTGTAACAAAGGCCAAATGATTATCAATTGCAGACGCAGTCTTAGCTTCTAAATGCATGCACTGTTCAATAAGAAGATTCAGGCCCGTTTGGGATGGCTTTTGAAAAGCCAAAAGAAGCTTTTGAAAGTCAAAAGCCGCTTTTGGACCGTTTGACTATTTTTGTTTAAAGTGCTTTTAGAGGTTAGAAGAGCTTTTAGAGGAAGCTGATTTTTTTGGCTTCCTCCAAAAGCACTTCCGGAATGGGAAGTGATTTTAAATATTAATTTTCAAACAAAAATTAAAATAGCTTTCTCCAAAAGCTCTTCTACAAGAAGTAAAAGTCAAAATAAAAGTCGTGCCAAACGGGCCCTTAGTAACTGTTAAATTTAAGGAATAAGAGAAATATTGGAATTCAATTGAACTGTTGCAGGAATGATAAAATCATTAATTTGTGTGTCGACATTGAAGTCAAAAAGATTGTTGGGACTACATAATGTTTGGTTGAAGATAGAACCTGGATTGGAATAGAGTCATTATCTATTGAAAAATAAAAAATAAAAAAAATTGGATCCTTCAAGGACAATGGAGAAGAAAATCAATAGAAGTAGCAAACACTAGAAAATAGCTTGAACGCGTAAACTAAATTT